TGATACTGATGCAATGGTCCACCTGGCACCCATAAACAGGAAGTGCAGACTCCACACGCTGCCATGGGAACAAAGCCCCAACTGAAAACAACCCACATGTCCATCAATAGGAAAATGATTAAATAAATTGTGGTGATTGTTCAGAAAGGAACTGGCTGCCATCTAGAAATTAAAAAGAATGAACTACTGATATGCACAACAATATGAATGAATTTGTTGGATTTTTGTTGAAAGAAACAGCAGCACTTTTTACCCATCACACAGGAAAAAAATGTCACAATAACTCACTGTTCGCAAGAATGGAGAAAGTGGTCCACCTTCACTCATAGTTGGTGAGACTTATAAAATGACACCATTTGGGCCGGTGCAGTGGCTCAACACTGTAATTCTAGCACATTTTCTTTGGGAGGCCAAGGTGGGCAGATTACTGGAACCCAGGAGTTTGAGGCAGTCTGGGCAACATGGGTAGACCCCATCTCTACAAAAAATTTTAAAATTGGCCAGGCATGGGCTGGGAAGGTTTTAGCTCCACACACCTGTGATCCAGTACTTTGGGAGACTGAGGCGGGCAGATCACTTGAGGCCAGGGATTCAAGACCAGCCTAGGCAACATGGTGAAACCCCCGTCTCTACTAAAATACAAAAATTAGCCAGCGCGTGGTGGTGTGCCTGTGGTCCCCAGCTAATCGGATGCGCTGAGGCCGATAATTGCTTAATCTGGGAGGTGGAGGTTGCAGTGAGCCGACATTGCCCACTGACACTCCAGCCTGGGCGACAGAGCAAGGACTCCCTCTTTAAAAAAAAAAAAAAAAAATGGCCAGGGGTGATAACATGCACCAGCTATCCAGGAGGCCAAGGTGGAGGATTGCTTGAGCCCAGGAGATTGAGACAGCCTGGGCCACAAAGGTGAGATCCCGTCTCTACTTACAAAAAATACAAAAAAAAAAAGATGTCCATCAGCATGAGTTGGATCAATGAGGTGTGTCCCACAAAGCACACGTGGGGCTACCCTGCAGAGCAGACAGAACGGGTAAGCCTGGGCTGCAGCCCTGTCTCCACTCCTCACTAGCTGTGTGATTTGGCACAGGTTGCGTCCCAGTCTGTGGCTCACTTTGTCTAACAGCAAAGCACCTGCCTTACAAGAGAGATGGGGAGATTAAATCAGATCATTTATGTAAGCACTCCGAACAGTGCCTGGCAAATAGCAAGCACTCAATAATATTCACCATTACTATTATGATTATTAACTATGATACCATGCAATGGTCCACGAGGCACCCATGAAACAGGAAGTGCTAGAGCTCCACACGCTGCCATGGGAACAAAGCCCCAACTGAAAACAACCCACATGTCCATCAATAGGAAAATGGTTAAATAAATTGTGGATTGTTCAGAATAGGAACTGCTGCCATCTAGAAATTAAAAAGAATGATATGCACAACAATATGAATGAATTTCACAGATACAATGATGAGTGAAAGAAGCCAGGCTCAAGAGTATTTAAGACTATATAGGATTTATATTGAAGTTCAACGACAAGCAAAAGGGATCTCTGGCGATGGAGATGAGAACGGTGATTACTTTGGGAAAGGGGAAGTGGGAAGAGATGGAAAGAGAGAGGACAGTCTTACAGGACCCTGGAATGTTTTCATCTTGACGATCTGGGTGTTAGTTACCTGTGGGTACACATAGGTAAAAATCACCCAGCTGTACTCTTGGAATTTATGCATTTTGTTGGATGTAGCCGTGTGGCCTTTGGCAAAGTATTTAATTTCCACGAGCTTCAGTCAGTTTCTCCATCAACAAGGATGGGTCTAATGACACCTGCCTTGCGGGGTTGCTCTAAGGGAAGAAGGTAAGGGTAAATACCTTGCAGATGTCTGTTTGTATGGGGCAGATAGAACCCAGGCCTCTCTCCTACCCCCAGACATAAGGTAGTCCAAGCTACCCACCCAGACCAAAAGGCAAATCCAAAACAATAGATGGATCTGGAAACACAGATCAAAACCTGAGACCCGCTATCTCAAAGGCAGGAAAAAAAAACAAAAACAAAAAACCTGGGACACCCAAAACAGACCTCAACACATGGTTTTCAGAGGAGGGGCTGCCAAGATTCAACCTCCTGAAAACCTCCCAGAATTTTGCCATCCCTGTGAGCATTCAGAAAGACAATGCTAAAATTAAATTCTGAATCTCAGCCCACCCAGCTGTACTCACAGTCAGTCCCAGATGACTACATGTCATGCCCACCCACCAATCACTCTCTCAATACTTACCAACATCACCGAATCCTCCAGAACCAATGTCCACTGGTCTGGGTGTTTCCGGTCTGAGAACCTCTGGTTTGCGAATCTCTGGTCTGAGCACCACCGGGGTAAGGTTTTCTAGGGTTGGCTTCGACAACTTTACTGCTTGCCTGTTAGTTCGCAGGAACGAAGCCAACATGTCCTGGCCTGTGTCCTCTAAGCAGGAGATGAACAAAGGAAGAGCTTGACTCCCTCGAGTCTCTAGATCTGTGATCAGTTGCCTGGCCTGATCCCGCCGAGATCCAGAGCCTGCCCGCTGTTTAGAAAGAGAGGCAGGATACTAATTACCCATGTACTTTTAAATGGCTCTCACCTTGTCTCCCCGTTTCCCAGCTACTGTAAGTCTAAACAGTCAGGCACGTGGGCAGCAATGGAGCTGCAGGTGTGATAAGTGTGTGCCACTTACCAGCCTCTGATGATCTGTTCATTATTTCGCAGGGCAAAAGATGCCCGACGCTATGCTAAGTGCTAAAAATGCTACCATGGACAGTGTCAGTCCTTAAGGAGCAAATTTCTAATGAGGAACGCAATCAGACAAATCAGCAATGACACAGCAAGAGACAAGTGCCCAGAGGGAAGGCACATGGGGCTAGGGGTATCAGAAGTGAATACTGAATTCAGAGTCTTATAAGGTAGGAGGTGGACAGTGGCAAGGGACAAGGCCTTTGGGTGGCCAGGCCAAGAAATTCATCCTGAGACCTGTCAGGTGCCACCATAGAGTTTTTTTTTTTTTTTCCTTGAGACAGAGTGTCACTCTGTCACCCAGGCTGGAGTGTAGTGGTGCAATATCAGCTCACTGTAACCTCCAGCTCCAAGGTTCAAGCGATTCTCTTGCCTCAGCCTCCGGAGTAGTTGGGATTATGGGCACACACCACCATGCCTGGCTAATTTCTTTTGCATTTTTAGTAGAGACAGGGTTTCACCATGTTGCCCAGGCTGGTCTTGAACTGACCTCAAGTGATCCTCTAGGCTTGGCCTCCCAAAGTGCTGGGATTACAGGGATGAGCCACCGTGGCCAGCCATCAGTTTTGTCTGTTTTTCATTTTTGTTTTTTTGAGAAAGAGTCTTGCTCTGTCACCCAGGCTGGAATGCAATGGCACCATCTCAGCTCACTGCAACCTCCACCTTTCAGGTACAAGTGATTCTCCCACATCAGACTCCCAGGTAGCTGGGACTACAGGAACCCGCCACCATGCCTGGCTAATTTTTGTATTTTTTGGTCGAGACGGGGTTTCACCACGTTGGCCAGGCTGTTGGTCTCAAACTCCTGACCTCAAGCGATCCGCCAACCTCAGCCTCTCAAAGTGCTAGGATTACAGGCATGAGCTACAGTGCCTGGCCACGAAAGAGTTTTAAGATTGGAGTGACAGAGACAGATATGCCTTTTCAAAAAATCATCCTGGGGTCAGGGTGAAAAATGGAAAGGAGTGAGCCATAGCCAGACCAGAAGGCAGCACAGATGGTGCAGCTAAAATAGAGAGAAGTGAAAGGACAAAGCAGAGATACAAAGAGGGAGGGTCCACAGAACATGGGCACTGACTGGTGGGACTGTGAAGACAGAGCAAGGGTCAAGGTTGACAGGTAGGCCAGGCACAGTGGCTCATGCTTGCAATTCCAGCACTCTGGGAGGCTGAAGTGGGAGGAAAGCTTGAGCCCAGGAGTTCAACACCAGTCTGGGCAATGCAGTGAGATCCTGTCTCTACAAAAACTTTAAAAAATTATCCAGGTACGGTGTCATGCACCTGTAGTCCTAGCTACTCAGGAGGCTGAGGCAGGAGGATGGCTCGAGCCCAGGAGGTTAAGGCTGCAGTGAGCTGTGATAGCACCACTGCACTTCAGCCTGGGCGACACAGCAAGACCCTGTCTCAAAAAAAAAAAAGTTGAAGGTGTTAGGATGGTGGGGTCAGTCACTAAGACAGAAGGAAGACTCTGGTTATCTGCCACCTGTCCTCAGACACCCAGCACTGGACAGGTTCTCAGGATCCACAGGGATAAGATGGCACCATGTCCTCAACTATCCTACAGCAGCACTGTCTATGAGAACCTTCCGTGATGATGGAAATATTCTTGGTCTACACTGTCCCATATGGTAACCATACATCACATGACCACTGGGCACTTGGGTGGTACAACTGAGGAACTGAATTTTTGTGGGCGAAAGATTACCTAGGTGCCGAGGCAAGAGACTGAAGCCACAAACTGTTTCAGTATAATAAAGAAAATAGTTAGAATAAGAATAGTCATAATACAAATTAGATACAGAAATGATCATGGATAATTATCAATCATTATTATAAACATTATTAATCATTAGCTTTTAATATTACTCTGTGTTGCATTGCTAATATAACTTAGCAATAACCAGCAGGTATAGGGTCAGGTGCTGAAGGGACATTGTGAGAAGTGCCCTAGAAGGCAAGATGTGAGCCCTCTGCACACCCGCAAAAGGGCCACTTGAGGGCTCCTTCGTCAAGCAGTAATGCCAGTGTCTGGGAAAGCACGTGTTACTTAGCAGACCGTGAAAGGTAGTCTCCTTTCCTTGGAGGAGTCAGGAAACGCTCTACTCCACCAGCTTCTTGTGGGAGGCTGGATATTATCCAGGCCTGCCCGCAGTCATCTGGAGGCCTAAACCCTCCCTGTGGTGCTGTGCTTCAATGGTCATGCTCCTTATCCACTTTCATGCTCCTCCCGTACTCCTGGCTCCTCTTTGAAGTTCGTAGTAGATAGCGGTAGAAAAAATAGCGAAAGTCTTAAAGTCTTTGCTTTCTTATGAGTGTATAGAAGAAAACGCTGACGTATGCTGCCTTCTCTCTCTGCTTCGGCTACCTAAATGGAAGGGCCCACTTTCCTATGATCACATGACTTGCTTCACCTTATCAATCACCTAAGACGACTCACCCTCCTTACCCTGCCCCCTTGCCTTGTATCCAATAAATAACAGCGCAGTCAAGCATTTGGGGCCACTACGGTCTCTGCGTCTAGGTGGTAGTGGTCCCCAGGGCCCAGCTCTCTTTTCTTCTATCTGTCTTGTGTCTTCAATTCTACGATCTCTCGTCTCCGCACACAAGGAGAAACACCCACAGGCCCTGTAGGGCTGGACCCTACAGATTTTTAACTTTATTTAATTTTAATTACTTCAAATTTACCTTTAACCACATGTGGCTAATGGCTACTACAAACCTGTAGTGCCACTAAGAAGGTGAGTCTCACTAGCAGAGCAGTTGGCCACATGCAAATAGATGGTGGTGTTTAGATTTCTCTCCACATTTGCTAAACACTCCAGGAGGTCAACACTGTGTAAAAGGATTGGTTCATCTTTTTCTCCCTCAATAACCTTATAGAGTTAAATTACAATTTCCCAACTTTTTAGGGTAAGAAATTTCAGGGAAACTGAGTCACAGAAAGGGGTTTTCTGTTTGTTTGGTTCATTGGTTGTGGTTTTTTACGACTTGCTAATACGTTACAAGGCCAGGATGAGAGCCCAGATCCAAAACCTGCCTGTTTTTCAGCCATGCTAGGGTGGCAAAATGGCAACCTGTGGTTCCCACAAGGTTCTTAAAAAATTTCTGAATTTGTTGCTAACATTTTAAGCCAGGGAATTTGACAGAAGAATCAAGATTTCCAGCTTCTTTCTTAAAATATGAAAGCTGGCCCAGGTACAGTGGCTCACACCTGTAACCCCAACACTGAGGCAGGAGAATCACTTGAGGCCAGGAGTTTGAGACTCATCTGGACAACATAGCAAGGCTCCTATCTGTACAAAAAAAAAATTTTTTTAATTAGCCAGGCATGGTGGCATGTGCCTAAAGTCCCAGCTACTCTAAAGGCTGAGGCAGGAAGACCACTTAAGCCAGGAGGTCAAGGTCGCAGTGAGCCATGATCTCATCACTGCACTCCAGGCTGGGCAAGAGTGAGACCCTGCCTCAAATAAGTGAAAGATCTGGCAATACTGGGCCATTTGCTGGTATGGCCATACTCAGCTGGAGTCAGAGAGCAGTGCAAAGGTATCCACTATGATGCCCATCCATCAGGCCTCCACAGGCACTGAGTTTGTGATCCCCGTGAACATTCCTGAAGGCAAGGGCTGTGGCCTCAAACCATTTCTGTTCCCCAGTAGGGGCCAAACAGAAGTCATAAGACTTATTTTATTATTAATGAATAATTACTCATATGATACTCAATTATTTAAAGACTCTTTCCCTGGGCCAGGGCACTGGCCAGGGATATCCAGCCAGCCACTCACGCCTAATGCACCTCATGGTAGGAAATATCTCCTGCGTCCTCACAGGCCTGTGATGAGGGTCAAATGAGACAAAGATGAGAAAGTGCTTTTAAAGAAAACCTCAAATGTTTGACTTTATTTTTCTCCATTACCTGCATCAGGTCCCGTCATTCCCAAAACCTCTTAACAAAACATAAACTGAACACAGAAGGGGCTGGCCAAAGAGGGCAGGGCACACTGAGCCCTCGCTCTGTGCCTGGCACTACACTGTTTCACATCCATTATTTCATGTAGTCCTTATGACAGTATTATTCTTATCCCCATTTCACAGCCCAGAAACCGTGGCTCCAAGAGGGTAAATGACTGGCCCAAGAACACGCTGCCAGGCAGTCTGATGCCAAAGTGGGTTCCCAATATCTCTATACTAGAAAAGTAAAAACGCACACGCCTCCTTCCTCGCAAGTATTAAAGTAAACTAAAATGGAGACCAACCATGAATAATTCCTGAGCAGACAAAACCGATCAGGTATCCTTAGTGACCTAAATCTTGCTTAAACTGCAAACAGCAAAATTTAACTTGGGTCATATCTGATAAATGCTTATGTTAGAGAGAAATAAAACTTAACTCCAGCCAATGATAAGCAAGCATAAGCAGTCAACTAACAGATCTTTAAAAAAAAAAAAAAAGGCAATTTTGTAACTGCAAACCAATCAAATAATTTCATTATTTTGCTTCCACATTTTCCCAACAAATACTTGCCTCTGACCTTTGGTCATTACAACACTAAACCTCTTTCAGTCTGGTGTTCTCCGATTCATGAACTGTTTCTTATTCAAAGTTTTCAAGATGGGTCTCACATTTTTCCTTTACACAAGAAACACAAGCACTAACGGTGGACGCTGACTGAGTATGGCGTGGAATCGCTTTAGCGAACACCCGACTAAGAGGTGTTTGGGATTCTTAGTCTCCGCCGAGGGGTTCGAAGCCACAGGGAAAGCTAGGCTCCCGCACAATGGCTCCTCGAGGGGCGTGGGGACTCGGCCGTGCAGCGCGGGGCCAGGGAGCCAGGGGCGGGGGCGCACCTGGATGTCCTCGATCATGTGGGGCTTGAAGAGCTCGCGGCTCAGCAGGGCGTCCCAGAGCTGGTCCACCTGCAGCTCCTCCACCAGCCGCAGCCGGCACCGCCGCAGGAGCCGCCGGTCCGCTTCATCCATGGCGAAAAGCTTCAGTCTGCTTCCGGGCCTCCGCCGCCCGCCCCAGTCCCCAGGACCCGCCCCACTCCCCAGGGCCCGCCCCCGCGTCACTGCCCAGGGTCAGTCTTCGCTCCACCGCCTCAGGACGCATCTCCAATGCCTCACCCCGCCCCCAGGAGTCGCGCTTGCGTCACCTCCCCGCCCTCAGGACAACCCTCCGCGCCTCGCCCTGCCCCCAGGGTCAATTCTCGGGTAACCGCCCCGCCCCAGAACCCGCCCCCACGTCCCCGCACCGCCCCCGCGTCACCGTCCCGCCCCCAGGACGCATCTGCAAGGCCTCGCCCCGCCCCAAGGGTTCGCTCTTGCGTCCCCGCCTCGCCGTCAGAACGCACCTCCGCGCCTCGCCCTGCTCCCAGGGTCAATTCTCGGGTCACCGCCCCGCCCCTGAACTTGCTTCCGCGTCACCGCCCAGTGCCCGGGACTCGTCTCTAAGGCCTCACCCCGCCCCCAGATTCGCAATTGCGTCTCGCCCCGCCCTCAGGATGCACCTCAGCGCCTCGCCCCGACCCCAGAATCCATCCCGCGCCACCGCCACGCCCCCCCCCCGCCCCCAATGTCAATCTTGCGCCACCGCCCCGCCCCCAACGCCAAGCCTCGCGCCACTGCCCGGCCTCCAAGAGCCAACCCCCTCCCCTCGCTCCACCCTCAGAATCGTCCATGCGTCACCGCACCGCCTCGGGCTCCAGCTCGCACCCTCGCCCCGCCCCCAAAGTCAATCCTCAGCCCCAGGATCCAATCTCCTGTCACCGCCCCGCCCCAAAGGCGGCACCTCCGCACCTCGCGCGGCTCCCAGGGCCCAGCCCCGCCCCCGCGTCACCGCCCCCCTCCGGGCGCAGGTGCCCGTTTGCAATTGTGGTACCAGTTCCCGGTCCACCGAGGGCCCCTCGCCAGAATTCACTACGGCCCCGCTTTTACAGAGACTCGGAGAGAGTCGTCACACTTCCAGAAAGAGGGAAACCATGAGTGGAGCCACGGTCTGCCCTACCCCGTTCAACCTCCTCCGGGGCATGGATTCCCCTTAGCCTCCTCCTCCACCCCAAGAAAAACCATAAGCTCCCCTCACCGCCCCTGTGCCCGGATCGCAGTTGACTGTTCCAAACTCGAGTGTCTGATCCAACCAAGCCCACCTTACACAGTCTTCCATTCCCTCTTCCCTCCCTCCCACCCTAACACCTCCCACACAGAAAAAAAACTGGCAGAAATCTAGTCCCTGTAAACTCCCGTCGTGTTGAACGGTTCATTTTCACATTTCAAAAATAATCGTTTCTGTTTACTGAGCATTTGCTAAGTCCCAGGCATCGTGCTAGCCACTTTTCATGCTTATCTCATTTATCCTTAACTACAATCCTGCCAGGAAAGTATTCCCGCCCCCACCCCCTGCCAGTTTTACAGATGTAGACCCTAGGGTTCAGGGAAACGAATGTTTAAGGACACATGGGCAGTAAGCGGCCGAGGCAGGCAGGATTGAAACCCGAAACCTGACTCGACAAGCCACACTTTTAAAATCCAAGAGTCCACCTTAGAATATAATCGCTTGAGCAGCAAAACCTCAGCCCCATTCGTTCACTTATTCTCCGAATTTTTTTTTTTTTTTTTTTTTTTTTTTGAGACGGAGTCTCGCTCTGTTGCCCAGGCTGGAGTGCAGTGGTGCGATCTGCAAGCTCCGCCTCCCGGGTTTACGCCATTCTCCTGCCTCAGCCTCCCGAGTAGCTGGGACTACAGGCGCCCGCCACCTGGCCCGGCTAGTTTTTTTGTATTTTTTAGTAGAGACGGGGTTTCACCGTGTTAGCCAGGATGATCTCGATCTCCTGACCTCGTGATCCGCCCGTCTCGGCCTCCCAAAGTGCTGGAATTACAGGCTTGAGCCACTGCGCCCGGTCTTTCCGAATATTTATTGAGGCTGTAGTCAAACACTGAGAACATGGAGGTGAACAAAACAAAATCCCTGCTTTTAGAGTTTACATTCCAGTGGAAGGATCAGGTGATAAACTATATAAATAAATAAAAGACATAGTATGTTAGTGATAAATGCAAAGAGGAAAAAATAAAAACAGGGCAGAGAGATGAACGCTCTTTATATCCCCAAGGGATCTATCTCATTGGCTCAAAGAAAGTTTCCCTCACTCACCTGTGCCTTATCCCTCTCCCAACCCCCACCGCCCTTTCCCCGTGCTTAAGGCAGAGACCGGTACATTCTTGGGTGGAGCTCGCCTTTCGGTAAACGGGATTAGGAGTCCTGGATTCTCTCAACTCAAAAAAAAAAAAAATCAGTAAACAAAAATAAAAGGAATCCTGGATTCTAGGCCTTGGGCAAATCCCTGCCCCTCTCTGGACCTCAGTCTCCTTATCAATATTGGAGGAGTTGGAGAGTTAAAGAATCCCTAGGGTCCCTTCCAATCTGACGCTCTAGGATTCTATGAATAGGGTTAAAGAGAATAGGGACCAGAGATTGCGTCCCCATCCTAGCAACTGTTGCTAGACGAGGGCCATCTCTCGGTAGCAGCGGAAACACCTTCCTGGATAGAGGAGGTCCTTCTGGCATCCCATCATGCATAGCGACTTCGCCTCGCTAGGAGGCACGTTTTGGCCTCTTTGGTCACGATCAACCCTTTGGAAGCAACCAAAGAGCGCCCCTGGTTCCTATAGCAACCGCCGCAGGTCCACGCGTAGACGGCGAGTAGCAAGGGTCAAATAGATTCGCCAAGTAGAAACCCTCGACCTGTTCAGTCCTCGCCTTCAGTGCGATGGACCTTTAAGCGTCACGTGACTCCCCTCGGACTTGTCCCCGCCTCTTTCCCCTCCCCAGGCCCGGGCGAGCGCTGTTGTGGACGGGAAGCTCCCGGCCCGGCGAACTAACTGGAGCGCGGACGCTGCAGCCGGTTGGGCCGGTGTACTTTCCCGGTAACTCCTTCCCGGCGTGACGCGCGGAACCGCGGACGCGGCGGGGCCAGGTCGACTCAGGGATTTCCCGTCAGTTCCTTCTTGTTTCCAGTCACTGCCGGGCCCGGGGGGAGCCGGGAGCCAACAGGGCCGGGCCCTGGGCTCTCGGAGGGCGGCGGGGGAGGGGGTTGTCTCCTGCAGGGTTGCGACCTCCGGCGGGAGCGCGAGGCGGGTTTTAGACCTGGAGCTTGTCTCTGGGAGCCTCTTCCTGGTCCTGGTGATGCTACCCAGAGGGTTGGCAGCCTACCTGTTGGGCAGGTGTTTGCTGCTCCGAGGTCGGCGCCGTCTATCTCGCATGTCAGCGAAAGAACTTCCCAGACCGCCGCCACTCGGGCCCTGTAACTGGAAGGAACTGACACAGTTAAATAAGGCAGCGGTCGTACTGCATGGTAGAAATAATAGCACTAACGACCATTTATTGACTGTTGACTCTGGGCTCAGTAAACCCTTTAGATGCATTTAGTCCCCACATGATGGGGACTAAAGGTAGTAGTATTCATTCCGATTTTATGAATAAGGACGCTGATGCTTAGCAAGTTTAAATAATTTGCCCAAGGTAATACAGTAGGGGAGAGTAGATCCCAGCCTTTAACCCATGTGCTTAACCAGTAGCTACATCGCCTTCACGTGTTTTGTAGGCTATAATAGATTGCCTTAACAAAGAAGAAACTGGTTTGTTTTAGGATTTTATTCAGCACGTATGCAATTTTAAACATTGATCATTAGATTAGTCAATTTTGTGAGGACCCCCAGGCGGCATTAAACTTGCACTTACGGAAATCTACCACTGTTATAGCTTTGCCCCTCTTCAATAAGGTGTCACAGTAGACATTTGAACCTTAAAACTGTATTAGCTTATGAGAAATCAAGATAAATTGAGAAAAACATCATAGGGTATAACAGCGATCATAATTGTGGAGTATACATATCCACAATTCCAGCACTACCCTGTTCGTTAACCAGCCAGGATTATTTCCAAAATTCACAATGAATTAAGTCACTGTACTCACCAGAGATGGAGCTTAAAACTTTTAAAGACCATGTCTGCTATTTGGTCTTTGCCATTAATTCTTCTTCACATGGAAAACTGAATTTTTTCTTGCCACTTTTTCTCATCTGAGGTTTCCATTAATAATGACCATATTGGCCGGCACGATGGCTCACGCCTGTAATCCCAACAATTTGGGAGCCGAGACAGGTGGATCACCTGAGGTCAAGAGTTCAAAACCAGCCTGGCCAATATGGTGAAACCCCGTCTCTACTAAAAATACAAAAAATTAGCTAAGCATGGTGGCGCATGCCTGTAATCCCAGCTACTCGGGAGGCTGAGACAGGAGAACTGCTTGAACCTGGGAGGCGGAGGTTGCAGTGAACGGAGATCCCGCCATTGCACTCCAGCCTGGGTAACAGTGAAACTCCGTCTAAAAAAAAAAAAAAAAAAAAAGGACCCTATTGCTAATGATTAAAGAGCAGCTTCTCATATTCTTATTTGAATGGGTGTGGTGAGAAAGAACAGAATTAAGGTATACTGCGTTTTAACTACACAGTTTTTTTAGTGTTTCACCTCCATATTTGTACTTATTTAATGCCCAAGAATGCCACAACTATCTCATTTTGTAGTTTCGTGCATGGTAAATCTTGTAGTTTCTTGAGTTTGTTTAACATGTACTCAGTGAAGTATTCTTAAACCATTTATTTTCTTTATTCTTATCAGAATAAATGAAATCATGTATTTGAGAGGTAGTCGCCCTGATTATCCTATTTAGGTTTCCTCACATTTAGGTATTGTTCTGCATCCAATTCATTTTCATTCATTTCTAAAGCTTTTCTAGTCCAAATATTCTGGAGAGTTGC